AATAAACACCGTCTGCTAGATCCGCGCCTGAACAGTCGCACTGTGGTTTCAATTCGGAGCGCGCAGAGTCGACTGTTGACTGGGATCCAGTATAGTAGCGCGGCGTCGACACGTGTGCTCAACGCAATTTCCACACCAGCATGACCAGCGACTTCGACGGTTGAGTTCCCAAAGAGGCGCAACATGAAAATGCCCCTAGAACTCGCAGACAGTGAAACCAATCATAGAGTCGGGCTAGAGTCCTGTAAACGGGTATCACTGAGTCAGCAGACATCAACGGCCGTAGTTTCTAGAGTGCGAACAAGGATTGCCTTCGATCCGATCTGCATCAGCGTCCGAACATTGTAGGTCTCCAGCTTGAATTGGGTTGCCAACACGATTTGACGCACACTCGGTTCTAAGCTCCTGATCCGTATAGCGAGAAAGCTCTCCCGAGGCGTCACGGTGTTGCGGATTCGGAAACGGTGGGGGAAGAACAAGAATGGGGGAGGGGTTAAACAAACATGGAACAAAGTAGTTAACTGGTGGTGCGGTAAAACGTGGTTTGGCAAGTTCGGCCACCGGCCGAGGAGAGCAATTCCAGTGACTGAGAGCAGAGGGGGAGCGAAGAATTGTTGTGACATAGCTCCATATGTTGTGTGGGCATAGTACTTCCCGGTTGCTTAGTCCGAGGAAGAGGGTCGACTTGGGGGAGAGCACCCGGAGCCTTGGGTCATAAAAGACCTAACCCGCAAGGCAGTGGGGGCGATTGACGTATGCCGCAAACCTTTTGGAGCTGGCTACCTAGGTGAAGATAACACAGCTTTCGATTAGAAACAAACTACTCAGGGCGTCCAAAAAGCCCAAGTGAAGCAGCAAGGCCATGAATCCCTGGACCACCGTACACGTCACCAAGTCCGAAAACCGTTGACAGCCGGCTCATACGCCTCCATAGAAGCCGGTGGCCATCGATGTAGTCCATCCACCGTCCGTTGTGAACTCACTTCTGCTTCCAGAAGTGAGTGATCAGTGACCCTGGAGCCGGTCACATTGCTCTTGACACAGCGTCTTACGAGCTCTTATGGTATTTAATAAGGAACCAGGTGACCAGCTCTAGGACGCTGCAGATGATTATCCGCGACTGCTTATTCATCTCGCTTGCGAACAGCCAATGCTTATTCACAGTTACCTTCGAAAGGAAGGCATTCCCCGATCCCTAACCTGGGGACGCGCCCGGTGGCGTACATCTCCACCGAACCAACCAGTGGTCAGTTCACTTTCAAAAATTAACGCCGAAAAACCGCAATGCATTAGACAATAAACGAATCAAACTCGCCTGACAGCAAAGCGGGAAAATCCGACCGGGGAGCGCAATCGGCCGTCGGTAATCAGAAAAGTGATGTGGTTGTGGTTTTGCTGAAGTAGGCCGCAGTCGTCGGAACTGCCTATCACTCGCCACATCTTCAGGTCTTCTGCAAACAAGGCATACGGCGACCGAAGAAGCTGAGTTAGGTGGTTGATATACAACTGGCACAATGTAGACCCCAGCACCGTGCATTGCGGTACGCCAATGGTCCCATGATACCAGTCGGTCAGACGACTATTGCCTTGTACCCTCCACTTTCGTCAAACGAGAAAGTCTTACATCCACTGGTGCAGACATCCACTAACACCGCACACTCTCAGCCTGAGAAGGAAGACCTCATGCTTCAGTTTATCGATTGCCTCGCTAAAATCGATCTAGATCACGTTGACGGACTTCCCCTGTTTCACTGCTCGCAACCATTCATGCCTGGTCACGAGCATGTTGGTGAGATTTGAACTACCTGGCGTGAAACCGTGCTTTGCGATCACCAGGAGTTCTTTTGACCGGAACAGCTGTAGTAAATGCTTCTTCACAATCTTTGCAACCTTGGTCAAAATAGATGTCAAGTGAAATGACCTGTAGTTGTCTAGTTTGCTGGGGTCACCGCCTTACCACGGCCATTTCCAATCAATCGGCAATAAACCTTCGGACATAGACCTGTAGGGCAGGTTAGTTACAGTAGACGAGATGATGTCCAGCAAGGACTTGGGAATCAAGAGTTGGAGCCCATCAGACCCTGCAGGCTTTGTGTCGCCAAGATTGTCGAGTAGCCGACGCACCTCTTCCACACCACAATCCAGACTGTCGCGTTCGGTAAAGGTGATGCACGCCGAACTCAGTGCAGACACCTGGTCGTTTGTAAACACAAGCAAGGTGCACCGCCAATGCGGACGCACTCCCAGTGCTTTAGGTGAGGGGCTGTCCGTTCGCGTGCTCTATCGTTGATAGGTTATTTGTTGGCCTCAGGCCCCGCTTTACGGGTGCAGAGCTTTTCTTCGATGATATTTTTGCTGCGGTTGCGAGCTGCTCTTCAAAATGCCTATGCTTGTGCGTTTTCACACTGTTTTGGCTATTTCGCTGCCTTTTATACACCCCATAGTCGTTGACCGAACCAGAGATAAGGCATTTGTCCCACAGCCTGCGCTGCTGCTGCTGTCGGACCAATCTGGCTTGACCGGTCCGACTTTCCGACACTTGAGAGGCACGAATTAGTTACTCAATGAGTTTACTCCATTCCTTATGACTGGCCAACAAGCTTTAGTGGATGCAGATTGCGGCAGAAATCAACCCACTTGGCTCGCGACTTGAGTCAGGCTGTGGAAACCCGTCTTCCAGTAGTTGTACTCTCTCTCTAGTGCGTGGGATTGCTGCAGTGACAGCTCCATGTTGACAGTAAGACTTGCTATCAGATGCTCCAGGACACGAATGTCATACACCTGTTGTGCATAGCTGGTTACCATCCAGTCTAAGCACGATGGGGTTGAGCGCGGTGTTATGCCCGTCGGTTGGCAGACCTGTTGTACTACCCCATTTCCAAGTGCCATTTCAGCGAAATTCTCTGCGGCCTTACAGTACCCGGTGATAAATGAAACCTCATGCCAGCGTATCCGAGGACAATCGAAATGGCCTATAAGTAGAGAATGACGGCGATTTATGTGGTTGTGGAGATGCGGCAGTTAATCCAAATAGCGACTCAGGGGACTGCGATGAATTGCATCCACGAGTAGCTCCGCGCCTGAGGTGGACCAAGCACCACAACTGCTCTCATAGGCCATCTTCGCTTCGATGGGCTCTCACAAATTTCCCACACAGAGAAGGCCGAATGTAGAGTAAAACGCCACCGTGATCATTCGATAGCCTATCGCAGCGGAAGCAAGAATAAGCTCAACATCCTGAGTGAGTACCTCATCGTTTAATCACTTCTTTACGAGTCCCATTACATCTGATCGCTCGAAAGCAAGAAAACAGCATGGCTCATCGCACCTGCTCATAAGACTGCAGACATTGGCAAAGCCTACAAGCAGCGTGCAGTAAAAACTAACGGGACCGAATTCGCCATCGTTTTGTAATTGCCCGAAAATTTACGATACGTAGATTTGTTTCTTCCTCATCGGTTTTCCGATTCATCTCCATGATGGCACAATTGTGTCGCTTTCGGTCGGATGGATCCATATCCGGACGATTATTTATCCTTTTGCCTCTCAGTCTACTCAGCCGCGACAGTATTAGCTTCGGGTTGGCCTCGTCGGCAAATGTTACCCGCATTGTTCGACCCTTCTCAACAGTGTTTTTGCCTAGGCGGATGATGCCTCACTTTCACTCCGTCCTCACCCACATCCAGGAGCCTATCAACCAGGCTATGTAAAAACTCTACCTCATGATCATAGCGTGCCTGCAGGCTTGTATCGTTAAACTCAGGCGCATGAAAAACATCAGCTTTGATGACCTATTATCATTCGAAGTGGTTCCTGCGGGAGGCTGATGGTGGCATCGATCTTTGCTTGGTCTGGCCCGTTGTTCATCCGTAGCGGGAAGCTAATATTTGTTACACGACTTCTTCCGTTGTTGTGTTTTCCATGAGTCCTCAACCACTGGACATTCACCTTGGTCTTTAGAGCTATCACAGCGCAAAGTCAGGGGATTATTAGCCTCAGTTTGTATCATGCCTCTGGAAACATTAGGATGGCAAGGTAATGAGTTGTCAGAGGGAATAGAATGGAAGGCTGTGTTAAACCCTGGATATGTCTAGAATTGCCCACCGTTAAATGTTTTGGTCGCTATCTGCATCGGCACATGTTCTTCGTTCCTATGGCTAATTTAGACTGCGACAAAATTTGAATGAAATAATATTGAATGGAACACAAACGACGACAGGAATCGATAGATAATTCAGCATACGCAATATGATATCTAGCACAGTAATCAAGGCACGTAATGGCATTTGCCATGTTCCCAATAACAGGAACCCCAAGCTAATTTTTTCGGCATTTTGAAAACTCTTAATAGTGACGTAAAACAATAAGATGGAATTTGCAAAATGGGACTACAAAATCCGCCGAAAGATACAACACAATATGTGGTCTAAAAATTGCAAATTTAGTAATGAAGCTAAATCATGCCGAAATTTCCAAGTAAATGATTCCAATATGCGGGTAAACCTACAATAGAGTATCATGACAACGCAATCACAGCATAAACAATCGAACGTCTCTAATCGCATTGCGTTTTTCCCTCATTTTCCATGATTTTCATGGTGTTATTGATCGCGGCGACTGCATTTCTCACAATTGGGCTCCCGGATCCTGGCCGACTTACTAAACTGAGCTGATTATTGCCTGTTTCGTTAACTGATATGTGTAGCGTTATCATTTGTCCGCTTGTTTTCACTCAGCCTCGTCATTTCTATTAGTAAGCCGAAAGAGTTGGTTCTTCTCAGCTAGTTGCTGCTCACTGATTATCGCGCAGCGTTATGTGAACTATTTTTCTAACTCGTTGAACTGTTACAACTGTGGTCTTTTGTTTGTCGTTACCATTCTTTTTTCTTCTGCTATCAGGCTTTTCCACTTACTTGCATACCAACGCATAACGTCACTATCTCAGCGTCGTCACTTGTGAAACACATCATTTTCATGTCCGACTGTATTTTTGCTCCTAGAGTTGTCTTAATGGAGATTCCAAGCCGAGAGGAGCTTTGCACCAAAAACCTATTCTCCGTGGCTGAAATCAGTTTGAATTGGCATGAGCAAGGTGACTATTTGGCTGTTCAGGTCATGCGATGTGCCAAAAAGAAGGTCGATACCGACAAGCAAGTAAAATATGTGGTAAGCTGTCTCTTATACTCCCCGTGCCCGCTATTCGCTCTCCTACAGTCGCATGTTCTGTGAATGTGCCATTATTTTGTAGTACACAGTTGTGTAGTAACTGCTTTTGCCCCTCGGGGCAGTGGTAAACTTTTCACCATGACTGAGAGGCAGAATAAGCGTGTGAAGGCCACACAATCGGCTCAGGATAAAGTGCACATTAGTTTTTTATGAAATGAATGATCTTTTGGGACACTAAGATAAACGTGGTGAAAGTGACCACAATGGAACAAACAAGAGAGGGTCACTGGAAAGAATGTCTGCCCAAATGTAACACATGGCGCAAATATGTTTTTGGTCATACAATGTAATATTAAAATATTCAACCCTCAGCTTATCCGAAAATTTGGCCCTGTATATTTGGTATTGAACAATCAACCGTACTAAATGTCTCCTTTTTTCACATGCCGCTCTAGGCGGCTCGCCCCACCTTGCTACCCCTGGTACAACATCTCCGTCAGTCCTTTCCTTTTGTTGCTTGTGAAGAATTTCAGATAACCAGTTCACACTTCCCTGCTCATATTGCATTTGCTTGCTGGACACTACGAATCTTCCCATAATTTTGAGCAACTCTATACCATTGCATTGATTCCCCATTTTTCTAAAGTAAGCGATTACATGTGACATGGCCTCAGAACGAACAGTGTGCTGTTTTTTGGAGCGAAATTTCAATATATGGTAGGTATGAAGTGCAACGAACAGAACAGTTGATTCCGTGCACCTGGCCACTTTTTTCTATGTTCTGTAAGGGGTCACTCGCGGCTCACCACTCAGCTCAAGTAATTTTTGGCAATTCCCATTGAGCAAAAGATTAGCTTGGAAACGATGATGCTAATCCCATTGTGATCGGCACCCGGCATCAACTGTAGTTCCACCTCACACTGTGACTTTTCTTGGGTTCTATGCGTATAGAGCAAGCTCGTTTGTCCACTCTCCTGTCATGTCATTGTCTCGTCGCCCCATACTCTGTAGCCCTATGCCTTTGGAGCGAACGTCGGAGACTTTTAAAGCGCTTAAGGTTTTTGTTGTACTTTTTGGGAAGCCTGTTAGGCTTCTGTAGTTGGAAACATCGTCGCCTCCTACTTAAGTTCACGTGTCCCATTGTGGTACCGTAAACAGCCGATTACGGTGTTGCCGAAATTGGTATAGTTAACTTACTGCTCCACGCCATACCACAGTTTATAAAGGCGAATTGCTAGCTTACGCCCTTGTCTTTGCGACGATCGTTCAACCCAATCCGGAAATATTCATTTTGAAAATTCAATCCTCTTGCGGGAGTACTGCATTCAGTAAGAACTGTCAGTTGCTAGCAGGCACTGCTCTCACACAATACTGACTAGCAGGTTGTCAAACGCGGTGCACAGCAAAGTGACCTTGCACTTGGAACGTCGTGGTGTGAATCATGGCATAAGAATATTTGAGGCATACAGAGGAATTCGATCATAATAGGATGATAAATCCTTAGCAGCAGTAAGCAACTTTAATGGGGCAGGTGGTTCAAGGATGGCCAACTTGTGTCACTGACGATCCGTCTCTGAATATATCCAGACTCACAACTGTCATTCCCTGGAAAGATCAGCGCGTTGAGCATGCCATCCCGCCAACTCTCCCGATGTGCATTGTTTGCGCGCCCGAGATCTGGATGGGAGAAGAAGGGGGTGGCCAAGCGATGACTTGGTCAAGAGGAATGAAATCCCTTACTTCGAACTTGGCTTCGGTTGGTGCGTCCCGACTGCCTGACTGGGGTCCGAAGAAAGATGAGCACGTTTGGTTGGATACACTAGTTGACATGGCAAGGAGCCGACCTCAATGGCGTTTGCGTTGTGAGTTTCTGTGTCCCCCTCCCGATTATCTTCCCCTTCTAACATCTCTCCCCCTTGACGCATAATATGTCAGTACATAGACTGCTGCCTGTTTTTTAAGCATTCTGTAATTTTCAGCATCTTGCTTTTTCCCTTTGTGTATTTCTGCACAATAGTTGCAGTGTGTTCCTCATCCTTACGTGTGATGATGATGATCAGCGCGTTGAACGATTTATCCTTTATACTCAGCGCATAACTTGCCATGAAATCGCAATGGTGCTTAATCCATAGTTTAGAACAGTAAACGCAACAATTCAAGATCATCTGCTTTTTCGAATAGCTAGTGCCACATAGGTTCCAAAACACCTCTCCGCTTTTGGCTGGCCCAGGCAAATTGAATACTGCTCTGAAGTTGAGGAGGATTATGACATGGAAGGACAGCGTTTTCTCTATCATATCGTTGCAACTGGCAGAATTTGGGCTCAGCATTCCACTTATGACCAAGTGTTTTCCATCTTTTTGGACCTTTAAAAGAATTTGTCGAAGGTCAACATTTTCACGGCGATGATGGGATGAAACTGGTTGTCATAAACCGGTCTAGACCTACTGACATACTTTTCTGCGCTAAGGCTTTCCATGCATTAGTGAAACACTAGGATGAGTGTGTAACTGGAGCTACTAATTCCTGGAATTAATAGCTTTCTTTTTGTGTCCCTGATTCATTCGAACGCCCCTCCTAGGCAACGGACGTCTGTGATGGCAACCGTCTTCTATTCTCTAAGCTGCATACACCTGTTTTGCATTTGCCTCGCGTTTCCTTTAACTATTAGTGTGCTCTAATCTATCAACAGCTTCGCACCGAAAGCCGCCTCTATCTCATGCACCACCTTGGTTTAAAGCTTCTAACACTAATCCGACGTCCAGCGTTTAATTTTTTACCCAAAATGTGAGGTTCTCATCGAGCTCAATTTTGCGTTTTTAACCATAAATTCTTTCTGTTCGTCACTTAATCTTCGGCAACACCATATGATGATGCAATATGCCCCTACACCATTCAGGGCACTTACATGAATTTGGAAATCGTCCGCATGAGAGAGAAACTCTATCCAGTCGATCAACTCGGAATTAAGGCTTCTATTTCATCTCTACATTGGGAGCCCCATGGAACGCGATTGGCATTCCTCCAGAATATCGCAAGCGGCAAATTTTCTGTCTGTATATACGACGTGCCCAAAGGAAGCAGCATCCGTGAGGTTGCTTCCTTGGAAATCCCCTCCACCAGAATTAATGATCTTCGCTGGTCTCCGAAAGGCAATCTTTTAGTTGTGGCCGGATTGAAAAGGTTTGTGGCAGACGTTACTTATTCATCTTTCAAAATCTCTCGACATGGATTTAGGTTGTTTTTCCTCTCTACCACGATCCCTATTTCCTGGTTATTAGCGCCTGATGCGCTTGTCAACTTAAACTCACAATGCGGTACAGTTTCGCTATCCCAGCTCATCAGTCGACCAAGTTGCTAGTGTATCGTAGCTAGGTGACAGACAGCTGTTTTTAATCACTTTCTCACGAGCTCACGAACCGCTGTTAGAATTTTTCGATTCAATATATTAACTGATTTACTGACCTACAAGTTGTCTTAAAACCTCTATCTCCCCCCCCCTAACTAATCGGCTTTACTCTCTGACTGTTGAGATTTTATTTGTTCTTTCCTTTATCCGCAGTACATTTCACTCACCGTCCCGTTTTGCAAATGCAAAACTGGGCCATTCTGGACTTTCCCTGTGCGCAGCGTGACCTAGAATTGTTACTAGAATTTTTGTAAACCAACTCTACTCTCTTTACCAAACTCTGTTTTGTGAGATTATTAATTCTCTTGCTGTACAATACCTTTTGGGACTGTCTAGTTTAGTACCCGCTACATCGTTGTTTCATCGAAGTCATATATTGCGTTCAACCCGTCACTTGTCCGCTTTCTCCATTTAGGTTTCAGTGACCGACCAACTGACAGCTGCGAATTCCTAAGTGCCTATGGTGTGAGATGCGTTCTCACATCTTCCCATCAGGCTTACACTTCCGTCTTTTCATGCACGTCTACTGGAAGTACTCACTGTGTTTTACCGGAACGCCGCGACAATCCCTCCGAGATATCTCTTATTGCATCACTCGCATTATCGTACGGTCTTCTGCCATAATCTGCTTGTTCGATCTCCCTAATCTCCTTCGAGGTGTGAACTCTCGTGGAATCTTATCAAACACAGCTAGTTTTCTATTACATTCTTTATTCGCGTCTGCATCAGTTTGGAAGCGGCTGCACAGAGGCATAACTTTACCTTTTATCGCACATACGCCAAGTAGATGTGTCATTTCCTTTGGATGATACGTTCGAAACATCTCCTCCCTACTGAGCAAACCATTCGTTAAGCCCAAATTCTCTAGTTTGCCATCATGAAACGACCGCACTCCGCCGTGAACGTGTAAACAACAAAATGGGTTCTGGTTTCAGTTCCGCCTCTTCGTTTGCACCGTCGTGGCCTCTACTTTCCTGGGGGGTCATTAGGATGAAGCGCTGTTGTGATTCACATCTGTCCTAGTGGCGTCACTTTCGAGTTGAGTCTCGCTGCCAATTTAATTAACTCTACATCTTCTTGTTCCCAGTGCCGACAGCTACCTTGAGTTCATTTCGGCTAATGAGGGCATTTCCTTGGCCAAAGGCGATCATCCAATGGTGAGTGAACTGCACTGGGATCCCACCGGTCGATATCTTGCCTCTGTCGTGAGCAGCTTTTATCAGAAAAACGACAACGGAGTGTGGTTTTGGAGCTGTGTTGGCCGTTGCCTTTACAAAATGCCCATGAATGGCCTGCGAACGTTCGCATGGAGACCTCGTCCTCCAACTTTGCTGTCCGCGGAACAGTTGCAGGTGAGTTTACGGTGTTCCTTTGTGTTTACTTTGCTTATCTACTTCCTCGGGATCTGTGTTATCTACCAGCGCGCAGCACTGTTTTTCTTCATTCTAGACTAGCGTCTCGATTGCGTGACATCTAGGGTCCGATAGCATTCCCCTTATTTTTTCTCTCGCTGACGCGTTTCCTGTACGCGTCTCATCGAACCAGTCTTCCTGTTTTATATACCGGAAATATAATTTTCCTATTTTCCGTACCATTACCCACCTACGTTTTCTCATGAAAATGCATTTTAAGTGGCGTTGCTATTTGCACAGCTCAGTAACCTTGTGAGTCACCTGTGTGGCGATTCACTCTATACTAGCGGGTTTTATATTACTCCGAAACCGAGGCGTTATAAGCGAATCTGATCGGCCCCATAATGCAATTACGGTAGTCCGAAAGAATAAGGATAGTGTCAAGACTTCCCGCTGGCTAATCCCCTTTCTCAACTGCATTTTGTTGTCTAGTTAGTTTACTGTTCTGTCCAGGGTTTCATCGCATTGCTGAGTTCGCACTCTGACACTGTGATCGCTGCCTCCGACTAGCCTCCGTTTGAATATCTGTCGTGGAGTAAATGTCCTTTCCGGCTGTTTATCATCCAATTCAAACACATTTCACGCAATCCCTCTCTTCTATTACCTTTATAATCTATCGATGCACCTCTCAACGAGCAGCTTACTACCGTCCCACCAAAATTCTACCGAATACCTTTCATTGATGCAATGGAAAACCTTTCTCAAGCTTATGTCACCAGTCATTAGCATGCATGTCTTAAAAACATTTACGATAGTCACGAGAAACTCAGGGGCACCACTTTCCTCTGTTCTCTTTATGCCTTGCTATTTTGTGGCTATTGACCGATACCCATGATCCTGTCCTCTTCTTCCTCGAGGTCGGCATATGAACTTACAGTGTCAACTACGATGAGGCCTGATCATCTGTTAACAGTGTGACAAAGGCCGGTAACCTTTTCCTTGCGCAGACATTCACCTGCACTCACTATCCCCATGCTCGACACCCTCAGCTCTACTCCCCATCCACTCTATCATCCTTCTTCTTTTCGCTTTATAATGCTTTTCTCCATAATCGCTTTTTCCAATGTTTCGTAGCTTGAGCATCTCGCTTTTTTACTTAAGTGGAAAAAAGATACTCAACCTCTTGTTACTCTGCGCCAATCAGGAATTTCAGACTCCTAGAATTCCAATTAAATCACACTTCGGTAAGATTGCGATCGCTTGTCCTTGACTTTTCATCACCATGCTTGCGCGCGCATTCTACTTTCTCCCACTCCACTCATCATCGAAGGTGCCAGCGCACCCGTCCTCCCACCCTCGCTATCTGTTTGATGCAATGTACGACAGTCAGATGATACGCACTGGACGGTGCTTTATCTGAAATCAATCGGTTTCCTTCACACGTGTTGGATACACATTGTATGTTGGCGTCAATACTTAATTCCATCAAGTGTTTAATACTGTTTTGGTATATTATCTGCTAACCCGACTACCGCCTACTCTTCTCACACTGCAAAGCGAATTCTTACCGTTTTGTTGTCGCTTCATATCATCATCTCTGTCGCTCCCGTCCGATATTTTCGAATTTCGCCCATACAGGTTTTGAAGAAAAATATGAACAAGTATAACGCTCATTTCGCCAACGAAGACCGAATGCTCGCTTCAAAGGCAAGTCGCGAATTGTTGGAGAAGCGACAGCGCATGCTGTCCGAATTCAACTTATGGAAGGATGTGATTATCAAGCAGTACAATGCGGAAAAATCTTTGCGTGTTGATTTGAGGGGTAAGTCATTTCTGACGGCTTTTGGTGGTACACTGCGGTCCTACGCTTACATCTTTCCATCTCCATCGCTATTTGTGTCTGCTATTCGCCTTCGTTTCTTGAATGACCCTTCGGTTGCTTTTGTAAACCCGAACCCCCGACAGTTAAGGTTCGCATTTTGCATGTTTGATTCCACTTCTCAGAACTATGTATGCTGTACATTGCCCTGTCAAATAGTTGAATTGGAAGACTTGTTTGTTTTCCAGTACATCCGCCCCCTCCCTCCCACTGTTCTACAAGTGATCAGGGTCCCACTCCTAATGGCGTCCACCTTACTGCGTCTGCGCAAACCAAAATAACTTGGAAACCTCTGACCCGCTCTTAATTTTTGATGGGTGCTTGACGAATGACCTTACAATACGAAGTTATACGGATTTTTACGCCAACCGATAAAAATCATATCACCGTTGCAACTGTCACTCATTTTGAAATGAGTGTGATCCGAAGGACCTGTGGTCCGCTACTGAGTACCATCAGAACAAATCGATCGATTGGGTCTACTTGCACCGAATCTTTTTGGGATATGATTCAATGTCTAATCGTGTGATGCTTGAGTGAACGCAATTAATCAAGGACGCATTCACACAGAACTAAATCGCCAATTTCCGCGTTTTAACAGGCGAGTAAAGACTACAAACACATCAAGCGTGAATCTTACTTGTGGAAAGCGCTACAATATTCTCACAGGCCTGTGCGCACGCAATTATCGTAATGAAGCCCTTCTGCACTCTTTACTAAGTTCCAAATATTTCCCGTAATCTGAAAGGATGCTACCGCTTGTGCTCGGGCCGTTAATAGCTCCAAATCATCTGAGGGTGCTACAATCCTTGCAATCCCGTTGAACCGGGAACGATCTTGGCGTCCGAAACAAATCAGCATGAGACTCAGCATTGAAGTGGGAATCTGAAGATGTATTTTCACACATTGAGTCTTTAACTAGCACAGCTTCATGAATTATTTGGCTGCCAACTCAGTTCTTGATTTCTGCATTTGGATAGCAATATTTGGCACTGTGCGTTCTGTTCCATTGGATGTCTGCTGACACCAGCTCTTTATCAATGTACGTTCTGCTTGGCACTTGTCCCGGCTTCTCATTCATACAATTTGGGTTATTTCGATGGTTGCACTTCGTGCTATCTTTGTATTCACCAGGTGAGGACACGGACGATATGACGGATAACGAGGAGATGGAGGAGGAGTTGGAGTTTCTGGTCAGCACAGTCAAAGAAGTAATTAGAAAAAACACAGAAGAGTAACCGACACGTCAGTTTCCGTACTTTTCTCCTTCCCACCTCAATCCCACTGAAGTGCTTACCTCTCTCATGCAACGGTTGCTTCCTGTCCATTTGCCGTGTTTCATGTGGCTCTCAATGAAAGATTGTAAATTGGAATTGTGTTTTTTTTTCTACCGGGCTCACTTTGCTGCTAGATTTCACACGGGACGGCTTGACAATGGGTCCATCATTTCTTTAGATGTGAGTTTTATTATTGTCGCTGAGTGGGAGTAGCACTCCCGGATAATTCTAACTCGGCCGACTTCAATCAAACCAACGCTTTCCGGTTCTTATTTTTGCTAGTTAAGAATCTTTCTGTATGTTCATGCTCTTTCCCACTCATGACCCAGCCCAATATGTTGGTCATTTGGTTTAGTTGCAACTGCGTCTACTCGCTTTCCGTTTGTATTTCCGAATTTTCTCGGTCTCTCCACGCATCCTCATTTTATGACTTGCCTCGCCCCCGCTAACATTTTCTTCGCTTTTAATTCACATGGTATTTTAGAAGCTTCGTCTATCCACATTATTCCGTTTTGGCTAAGCATTAGTTAGACAACCACGCTCCGAGGCAATCATCAGCATTACGCCGGTACGCAGTACCGACGCTTCGCTGCCGCGCAACCATCACCGGTCCACGTGAGCTAAGGATACTGCGAGGCTCGCCATGCCTCCTACGCAGGCTCCAACGCGCGCCGTCAGATTACAAGACAAGCTGGTTACCTTTAAGCTTCGGGCTGGCTCCGGACACCTCACCTCATTCGATCCGATCGCTTTGTCCACCATCTCCATGACAATAAAACATTATGGTGGGTACTGTGTGTGTGAATTCCAACCGACAGACTTATCGTTCTGTGAATTGTTTATAGCTACTGTCTTGGTCTACCTCTTACACGAAATCGCATGTGCAAGCTATCATCATTATCCTCACCAACGTCACCACATCAGTACTATACTAGCACAAGTATCCCACTAACGAGGAATACTACGAGGAGGCAAAAAAGGACCTAGTGTTAAACCTAAATATCCTGGACGAACATTCCGGGTCAGTGTGCCCAAAACTCGTTAGCCCCACGTGAAACTGGCTACCGTGTAATGATCAAGGCTACAGAATTTGAAGAAGGTTGGATTGAATCCATCTGATTATTAATGAGTAGTAGGGGATTTGTCGGGTTTTTGTGCAGATTCGTCGCAGCTGGACTCAGCCGGATAGCTAAATCTGTCCTCTCCACGTTCGTCACATGCATGACATTGGAGGATCAGCTGCACTATGTCGCAATGATACCGGTTATGGCAGTCCGCTGGCGTCACCTATGGCTCAGCGGCATAATTCGCTGGTTCGTAAGAGTAAGCTCGTGGGTTCGAATCCGGCAGGCTTCGGCGGGTGCGCGCTACTGACGAGTCCCAATAGGACGAAACGGCCGTCAAGCGCTTTCTTGGATGTGTGGTGGCTGTCTATCTGAGTCTACCTGTAACGGATCTTTACAAAACCCAATAAATACCGTACTACTCACTAATGGTCAGTAATTGCCTTAGCAGCTTACATACCACCTCGATTGGTGGCGGCTTTTAAAGGAGGTCGTTTCTCTGGGAGCCCACCCTATCTTCTACACTTTCATAATATGTATGCCATCGGCGGATGATCCGCGCTATATCGCAGTTAGATATCAGTCATGGCGGTCCGCTGCCGTCACCCATAGCTCAGTGGCATAAGTTGCTGGCTCGTAAGAGTAAGGTTGTTAGTTTGAATCCGGCGGGATTCGGCAGTTGCGCGCTACTGACGACTCCTAATAGGAGGAATCGGTCTTCCAACGTTTCCCTGGTTTAGTGGTGGCTGTCCGTCTGCTTCTAGCTACGACGAATCTTCACAGAACTCCATCTGTTCCGGCGGCCTTATTCAATTTCAGCCGTCTGATCTCACGTTCGAGTTCTGCGCGTGACAGTGGATCCAGTGTGACGGTCCAGGGAGTAAGGCGATTATTGCCTGACTAAGAAGCCGGCAACTGTGACTGATTGGACTGCATCGCAAAGTGTTCCGCCCAAAGATCCAAGCGCTTTGACAAGCTGTGGATCCGCTGCCCAATCACGTCGTATATGGTCTCGATAACGCCAGGTCTCCTGCTGCCCGTTTCGCGTATCAAACGGAATAACTTTCCATGGTTACCAAACACAGCGGCTCTCTCCATCTCCGTTGCACGATACGACTACCAGGCTTCACGGTATCTCATCAGGCCAGCACGCCATTTGGCCCTGAGATATTTGCAGGACTCATTGTATTAGTTTCCAGCTGGAATACGTCGGCGAAATTCGAGATGTTACAGAAACTGCATAGAGACCCGGCGTCCAGTTTGGCAACTTGATTTGCCATATGAAGACATGCCTGCTTCTATTAATATCCGGTGCATATGCGACCAGTGATTTTCAACGGCGTTCAGTGAGCCCTTACTCAGCTTGGATGCCAGCGTACTATAATACGCATTCCGAACTACTGACTTCACCAGTTGCCAAGTATCTATGCGCTCAAATCGCCGCTGGAAACGTCCGCCGAAACGCACCCGAAAGTGGGCTCACACAAGTACGTGGTCAGAGTCCACGCTCGTAGTCCAAATCGAGCGACAGACTTGAACATAGCCTCTGCAGCGGTAACGGATCGCGATGCGATCACCTCTACTACGGTTGGTCCGAGGCTGGTGGTCGCCATGTCACTGTACTGTTTGTGCTCTGTCGGAAGTTAGTGTTAGTGAGAACTAGACGGGCATCTTCACACACGTGTAGCAACCGCTCACTGTCATTATTACGGGAGCCTTTAGTGTTCAGGCAAATGCTGTGGGTTTCTTTGTCCCACCCCATCCCTTTTAGCCCCCCTTCCAACCACGATATTGTTATTTAGCATTTTGTAATTTTGCATAATAAATTATTTTTTTCTGCTGCATAGTAGCCGGCAGGTAGCTTATCGTAATGATGCCCATCCATTACCGGTAGCTCAGCTGGCTTGCACCTGTTGCGTTTTATTCCCTTTTTTCTTTTAGGTATTGCGGCACAGTAGTTGAAGTGTTTTCTACCTCTGGCTAACGTGTATAGTGTTTGTGTGTGTGTGCTAAGTTCACATGAGATTTGAAGAAAAGAAACAAACCGATTACTTCTTTCTAATTTTTGGCCTTTTTCCATCCTATGCCTATTCAATCATATCCACCTCGCCGCGTTCGTGTCACCATGGCAACCAAAAGGGGAAACAAGCCGAGCTGTTTCGTTGCTCCTTAGTTCACCTTCTCCGCTTATTCGGCCATGCCAACCACGCGGTCCTCGTGTCCATATAGGAGTAAAACAATGAAACAAACCTAGTTAACCACAAATTGCTACACCATTTTTAATAAGTCTTTACTTGATTTTTTAGGCCGAACCATCTATATACCATCTTTAGAGTATTTCTTCTTTTTTTGTTAACTCCGGTCATTGGTTCCACATTTACCAATGATTACATCTTCTAACCTAGTAGACGGAACAGGAGTATTCGAAAATGGCACAAGCATGGTTAGTGATCAAAGAAGAAAACAGATTAAAATATTATAAAAAAAATCCAAGAATACACAGATACTTTCCTTATTTTATTCTTATTGTCCCACCCTCCTTAACTCTGTACTTGGATATATTTATTTCTCATAAGGCGAGAGCAGGTAACATAACTGACGCATTGAAACTGAACTTGATTGGGACCAGCTCCTCGTGAAGTCGAGAAATATATTGCTTATCCATTTATCAGTTAAGATTTATTTAGTTGTAATCGATTAAGATTTGGGCTTATCTACAAGCCCCAACGTTCAGACAGCATTTAATGGGGAGTCGTCTACCTGAGGTGTACGCACTGTTGAGCGGCAATAGGTGCAAAATATCCGACTTCGTCGCAATTGTGGCAAGTGGATTGTTTGTCTGCAGTCAGTTATTATTCATGCATTTCGCCACATCGGTATTGCATTAAGGATGGTTTGTTGCTCGATCGCAATCGGGGTTCGACAACCTGAATGACGTCCGAGGGGTGATCGAGTTGGTATGGAGTTCCTTCCTTAACTACATTTTTCTGCGCCTCACCAAAGTGCATGGAGCTTCCCAAGTAAGGTGGCTTTCGTCTTCCGAGGGTAAACGTCCTCTGGCGTTGTTGTCACCAACCAGGAGATATTAGATTGCCTTGACCTCTTCAAATTCCTTGGGCCGTATCTCCTTTTAACGGTAATCAAGCAGGGACCGTTGTATGCAGGTTATAAATTCCTTGAGACATTCTTCTTCCTGCAGTAATAGTGTAGTAAGCACATACTATTGTAGGCCACGAAGCCCAACCAGTGATTTCGGAAAGTTTGAGAAAGTAGTATTTCCGTGCAACCGTAGTGCATCGAAATGTCTCTGATCCTCAGCGCCCAAAGGTTGTCTCAGCAAGTTGACAGACTGAGGCTCAGTAATACTTATTTGAGGATTTGTAGTTCCGAAAATTTCAAGGTTATCACAGTATGTTCGCCTCCACCGAGTCTAAACTGCAAAGGACGGCTCAGAAACCATATCTTTCCAAAACAGATCACCTGGAGTAATGGGACTCATGACAGATAAATCCAGGGATGGACTCCGTTTCAGATGTCAACTTTCATGCTTGCGGACCTAACGCAATAGTTGTGAACGCATCAATGGCTCGTAGCCTAAATGACGCGGGGACCACAAAACACGCTGTGCTGTTAGCACACAACGTGTATTGTAGCAAAAGCGCATCGGTCATGTAGTCGAGGGCAACTCACTAATGAGTGAGTGAGCGTTAGACAGACCTACACGTACATATCTAATGGCAGTTGATAGTGGCTATGTGAACATCTGAGTGGCGGTGATGATTCATACGTCATAGAAGGATAGGTTAAAGTTCAGCTCGGTCCTCTGAATGTCGGGGACGTTTTAATCGATCTTCATCAGCAGCAAACAGGCAGTGCACGTAAAAAACTGCCGCTAACAAACGGATTACCCGAAACTACGTAGGTCTCCTAAAGTTAACTTTCTTTCATCACTCCAATCGCTACTACATTGAGCAACGCTTCTAACATACGGGGTTTTCTAGTTCTTGCGTTCAGGTAAATCACTCAAGGGTC